TTGTAATATTGAATGAATTCAGAGATGATCCCTTGAGTATCAGTGATCCTGTTGCCATTCTCGGAATGAATTAACATCACTCTGTTGAGATGCCTCTTATTTTTCATAATAGAATGAAAGTAATGAGTGCTTTAATCTCCATGTATTCCCCAATTGATATTAGCTTTTTGTCTATAGAAGGAGTTTTCACATTCCAGTAACTTTGTATACTTCTTAATACATTCCTTTTCCTTAGTTATCAGCCCTAGGTTGAACAGATCAGAACTTAGCTGCTCTTGCACTACATACAGTTTTATCTTTGCTCTAGATACTTGCTCACTGATATTCATATAGTGTTTCTTATTCAGATCTTTAAGCACTAGTTTAAGATTTTTGAGCTTTGTATGCAACCTGTACATGTTATATCCATAGATATGTTGGCCCAAACTGAGCTAACTAAAGACAGGAAGTCAGGATGCTTAGCCCACATAGTAAAAAATTTAAATAGCCTATTTCCTTCAAAGTTTTCATCACTTACTGTTAGTAAACATGGCTAGTGATCAGAACAATAGGGCATCAAGAATTCCACCTGGCTTGATGTGTATTGGAGAATCTAGTCTTCATTCACTAGCATTCTATATCCAGCCTACTCCAACCTCAGGTATTTGCATCCTGCTTATTACTCCAAGTGAAGAAGCATCCAACATATTTGATATGCTTTAAATGACTAGAAACTAAAAAGTTCTGATAATCATCAGTCTCAGTGTCAGATACTTGAGCACCCCCTATTTTCTCCTCACCATTGAGTATTGAGTTAAAATCACCTCCTACCAGCCAAGGGCCAGCAACATTCCTTTTGAGAGCCATTAAGTCCTCTTATAGAACTCTCCTACCTTCCATTTGGTTGAGAGCATATACTACAGTAATTAAACAATCTAATCTTCCATCCTTCGATTCCACTAACATGTCAAGTATTGCTCAGAGCTTTTGATGTTTTGCGCAGAGAGAAAATTACTATCCCATAAAATCTAAATCCTGGCTTTGCTGGAAGTGGATTGCACGTTTGACATCCATTTCTAATTCTTAGCAATTTTATTAGCTATAATCTTCATTTTCTCTTTAGTCACTTTTGTTTCTAATAGGGCTAAAAAGAAAATTTTGTAGTCCTGAATAAATTGTTTAACAATCATGTGTTTAGAGGATTTGTTAATTCCTCTAATATTCCAAATGGCCAAATGCATTTATTGAGATATACCCCCCCCATCAATACTAGAGGGATCAAGATCAAATAATTGATGATTCAGATTTGAGAATTGAGTTGTAGGAATTAAGCTACCATGTTCACTGACTTTGGCCCATCTAGCAATATTAGCTTTTGTGACACTAGAGAAACCAGTTGCATTAATAGTGGAAGAATACTAAAATGCACCAGAAATTTTACCCCCAGAATGTCCAGCCATAGCTCCAGAAATCCCTATTCCAGAAACCTGAGCATCTAAGCCAGTTGTCACAGGAATAGCACCAAATTCAACTTCATGATTCTTTGTTGGCCTAGAAAATAAAGAATTAGACCCCCATAAAGCTCTAGCAGGTATGATATTCTGAGCACCAATCATCTGGCTATCAGTGACTAGCTAGATAACATTCTAATTCTGTGCATGTTTTACACCTTCCTGAGCTTGTTTTGCAGCAATATGTGCAAAATTCAGCTTAGCACTAGTATTATAATCATCAATTCCAGAATTCAGTTTCCTCACATCATCTCTTTGAGTATTCACAATAGGAATCTAAGCATCTTGCCTATTAACAGGAACCCAAATCTTTTTAGCATTTCTTCTACATTGCTCAGTCTCATGCCTAACTTTGTTACATAATGTGCACCACCTTGGTTTAAATTTATAAATCACTTCCTGAGCATAATTTCTACCATCAGGATCTTGAATGATAAGCTGATCAGGTAAGGGCTCCTTTAGAGGTAGTTTCACTTCCAACAAGACTCTAGCATAGCTAAGCCTTTGCTTTGAAGCAGTGAGTTTATCCATTGCAATAGGGTTGCCAATAAGGCTAGCTACCTTACTTATGCCCGTTGAACTCCATAGATTAAGCCTCAAATTAGGAAATTGAACCCATAATGGATAGTATAAGTCCTGAATTTTGTCTAATTTTGCATCAATACTCTATAGATTTAACATCAATGGCCTAGATCCAAAGAACTAGGGACCTGACTCAAGAACATCTCTCATCTGTTTCTCAGTTTGAAAATAAAAAAAAATAATCCATGATTGATTAATGAGACCTTCGGAATAGAGATCTTGCCCCATAATTTGCTAACATAGGATTCCGTTGCTTTAAATTTAACATTCAGTCATATGACATGCCCAATTAAAGCATTTTTCCATAGATCTTCTCCTTCCTTCCATTCATTAGCAGTGAATGAGGTAATTTTTTATTGGAAAGATGGCATGAAGCTTAGTGATAACCCATTGCATGTTTTCCTGTTATCAGCAAACAATCTAGCAAATATTTTCCTAGTTTTTGCACCAGATTTTCCCATATTCACCCCATTGCCTACATGTTTAACATTTTCCCCTGATTCCATATTGGAGTTCACAAAATCATTACCCCTATTATTTGATAGAGAATCATATGTAGGCATAGTTTTCTCGTTCACCAACTCATTAGAATAATTTTCAACAATTTTGTACGTGTCAATCAATGGAACAGTAATTGAGTCAACCAACTTCACTGAATCTAAATCAAGAACTGAATATTTAGAAGAAAGATTCTGAGGCAAAGAAGAATCAGAAGAAATCACCTCCAAATCAACCTCATCAACCCAGTAAACCTTAGAGGAGCTACTGACGCGATCACCATTGCTGAGAAGTCGAGCACGAACTCCTTCCTTCAGCGGAGAAATCGAAGAATGATGCAATTCAATCATGAAATCAGTGGAACGGAGAATTTCCTCCAACGATATCTTCATCTTTTCCCTCTTTGGTCCAGTTGAACCTATAGCCTTAGGGCTGAATTCTTCATCATCTTCCTCCAAATTTGCATCAAAATGATCCTCTGGAGCTAACAAACAAGAGCTTGAAGGTCTCAATCCAATGTCTACGATCTTTTTCCCGCTTCTTTTCTTCTCCTTCACCATTAAAATCTACACGGGGGCGCAAGATAGCAGCAAGATCGTCTGCTAACTTACACCTACAGACCCGCTAACTCAAGGCTAAAAGTTTATAATATTAGTTACATTTGAAATGAGTCACAAACAATTGTACATAATGCAATAATGCAATATTAATGAATGACCATAATTTAAAAAATGATCGTTCCATTACTAAAGATCAATAAAAAGGATCCAAAGCCTAAAATTTGTATCATTAAGCTAGATCTTAAATACCAATTTGATGTATTAGTCAAACATATTTATGACCAACACATCCATTTATCCATTTATATAAGGACAAAATGACCAAAACCCTCTTAAAATATTGGTGAACTCTCATGTTCCCTCATAAAGTATAGATTTACCAATTTTCCTTCTTAAATTATGCATATGTGTCTTATATGGATTATCATATTGACCATAACGTATTACTAATCCATGAAAAAATGAGATAGATTAGTAACACAAAATGAACATATAAGACACATAATAGATTATTTATTTCCTTTTTTCAATCTTTTCATGGATTATTTATTTCCGTTTTTTTACATTTCCATATAAGACACAAAATGACCATATATATAAGTCACATAATAGATTATTTATTTCTTTTTTTTTACATTTTTTTCATGGATTATGTATTTCCTTTTTTTTACATTTCCATATAAGACACAAAATGGCCATATAAGACACATAATAGATTATTTATTTCCTTTTTTTACATTTTTTCATCGATTATTTATTTCCTTTTTTTTACATTTCCATATAAGAAACATAATAGATTACTTTTTTCACATTTTTTCATGGATTATTTATTTCCTTTTTTTTACATTTCCATATAAGACACAAAATGACCATATAAGACACATAATAGATTATTTATTTCCTTTTTTTACTTTTTTTCATGGATTATTTATTTCCTATTTTTAACATTTCCATATAATACACAAAATGACCATATAAGACACATAATAGATTATTTATTTCCTTTTTATTTTTACTTTTTTCATGGATTATTTATTTCCTTTTTTTACATTTCCATATAAGACACAAAATGACCATATAAGACACATAATAAATTAATTATTTCCTTTTTAGTTTTACATTTTTTCATGGATTATTTATTTCCTTTTTTCACATTTCCATATAAGACACAAAATGATAATATAAGACACATATAATAGATTATTTATTTCCTTTTTTTACATTCTTTCATGGATTATTTATTTCCTTTTTTTTACATTTCCATATAAGACACAAAATGACCATATAATACACATAATAGATTATTTATTTCCTTTTTTACATTTTTTCATGGATTATTTATTTCCTTTTTTTACATTTCCATATAAGACACAAAATGACCATATAAGTCACATAGTAGATTATTTATTTCCTTTTTTTCTTTACATTTTTTCATGGATTAGTACCACGATATTTAATAGATTTGTAACACAAAATGAGCATATCAATGGATTATTTAATATCGTGTTACTAATCTATTAAATATTAAGTGTTAGGTTACGGAATCATCATATTGAATCCACAAATATAGTTTAAGGGGAAAAAAGAAGTAAATTAATACTTTAAAATGAAAGTGGACATAAGAAGGTTATTATGCCCTTTATATAAATCTAGTTATTATGTCCTATATATAAATCTGACCTTACATATCCCTTGCATTCAGTCGGCAAGGGGCAATCTCTCATGGGAGGCCACCTGTTACAATAATTTGCCACTTGTACATGTTTTCCTCATAAATAATCCATTAGAAACTCCTATAAATAGCACATACACAACCACAACTGAGGATAACATTCATTTCATCTTTATCCTTCTTTAATTTATATCATCCATGGCCTTGGCAACTTTCACAAAACCTCTACTCACTGACCTTTTGTCGGAGACTTGTGACTCAGTCCAAGCCAGTTATGTCCAGCCCGTGTGGGACCGCCCTAATCTTGTCGACGTGGAGGTCTTCAATGACTCGATCCCTCTCATCGACCTCCATGGCCTCCTCGGATCAGACCGGAGCAAGGTCGCCATGGATATAGGCTTGGCTTGCCAAAATGATGGCATCTTTCAGGTTATCTTCGCGCGTATTAAAATGAGTTGAGGTGTGACAAGTACTGCTACTGAAATTAAGAAAAAAGTATATATTAGGCCAGCACTTAGAAGTATTAACCAGCTAAATTTTGTAAGAAATTAATTAGTCATAAAAGAGATTTGTTTTTCATTTACCCAAAAAGAAAAGGCTTCTTAAGATTAGTAAGGTAGTTGAGGAGTTCCGTTTGAGTACTGCGTGGAAAGGTTGGGAAACTAAGTAGCTCTTTTCATGGGAAAATATTTTTTCTTATGACTATTAGAAGTTATAGACAAGAAGGATGAATATATATATATATAGGGAGAGGTTCTAATAAAAACCTCCTTAGCCTAAAAACTAAAAACCTCCTTCATCCAATAGCTAAGATTCAGTCAAACAGTCAACAGACACATGCATTAATTACCTCATTAAACACATGCATTAATTACATCAACGCAGTGAATCTGGATTCACTGCAGTGAACCTGGATTCACTATAGTGATTCGAGATACGTTGAGGTAGTGAATCTGGATTCACTGCGTTGAGGTAATGAGGTAATTAATGCATGTGTCTGTTGACTGTTTGACTGAATCTCAGCCATTGAATTCATCTAGATCCAATGGATGAAGGAGGTTTTTAGTTTTTAGGCTAAGGAGGTTTTTATATACATAATTTTTTATTTTTTTTATTTTTATTTTTATTTTTTTTTATTTTTATTTTTGGCTACCATAGAGGAGCGCTAACCCACCTATAATTTTGTAAGAAAATATTGGTTAAAAGAGAAGAAATTTGTTCAAATAATTGAGATTCAACTCGGTAGAAAGGCTTCTTGAGATTGTTAATTAAGGTATCTGAGGAGTTCCATTAATTTGTCTGAAGGAATGATTATTGAAAAGTTAATTAGTTTTCCCACGGAAAAACTATATTTTCTTGAAGATGATCTTCATGGTAATTAAAGGGTAGAATTTGACATATTTTTACATCTCTAAACTAGAAAATGAAATTTTCATTTGTCAATTCAAATAAAAACGTCAGAGAGGACAAAGAAAACCCATGTGAAAGGTCATGAGTCATTTTCTTGACTAATCGAGGGTCATTCTTTAATTAACGTATGTATGTACTGCTTATAGCATCATATTCTTTACCTTTCCTATTTTATAAACAAGAAAGAACGAAATTGATGATCTAATTAGCGTAAAATTGAAATAGCATGCGCGCATGATATAAAAATGCCAAGAAATGAATTATGAAGACCCCTTTGTTCTCCATATCTTCCAGTAAAAAAGACTTGCCACCATTTTCCCTTTTAAATGCATTTGAAATATAGGCATTGATAGAAGTAACTAAGTATTAAAATAGATATTGGTTTCTTGATATATTTTCTTTGATATAATTAGATGAAATATTACTATATATGTACTCGTGACTAATTTTAGGTCAAGAACCATGGGATTCCGAAGCGAGTGATTGAAGATATGCTCCAAGTTTCAAGGGATTTCTTTGGCTTACCAGAGTCAGAGAGAATGAGATGCTACTCTGATGATTTTATGAAAACTACAAGGCTTTCAACAAGTTTCAATGTCAAGACTGAGAAGGTTAGCAGCTGGAGGGACTACTTAAGGCTCCATTGCTATCCCTTGGAGGATTTTGTTCATGAGTGGCCATCTAACCCTTTCAACTTTAGGTAAACTCTAATCTGTTCCAAAAATGCATACTCTTTAATTAATCCTAGCTGGCCGACATATCAGCTTACTTAATTAGTAGTCAAATTACAAACAAGTTGTAACACTGAAATTGTCATTCATTATAGGTTTATAACCTACGGGTTTCATGATATGTAGAAAGTAGATAATATTTTGTCTTCTCCTATTACATTTAGCTTTGTATGAGATATTATTCACTAACCATTAACATGTATACTAATAACACCGACCGAGTCAACCAAGTGCAATGTTTAAAGTACATCATGATGCTCAGATAACTGAGAATACAACATAGATCTCACTATGAATTAGAAACCCAAACACCCAAAAAGAAGGAAAAAAAAAGACACTCTGTCGGCCGAGAACTGTTGAGCACACGATCGTCATGGCATTAACTTTGATACCCTTGATAATCATCTCTGGGTGAAGATACGAGCATCCCTCTCACACCAACTATAATAGACAGCAGCCGACAAAGCCATTCTTTTCGCTTGTCTTCGCTTAATTCCAACCTACTAGTATACCGATTCAATAGTTTGACTCCAGTTACAAGGCCTCCAATTGAACTGAAACCAACTCATAATACAGCTCCACACTGTTGCGCGCCTATGCGGAAGCGTGCTGGCACACCGAACGAATCCGTGATCATGGGAGAAGAGAACCAACCACACACGAGCACAATTCAATCCTAATAAGACAAATCAAACCAAACACAGAGATATACGTGGTTCAGAAATTTGCCTATGTCCACGGGGAGAGGATGAGGGAGATTCCACTAAATCAAGGAGAGTACAAAGGGTTACAATCTCACAAAAGCTCACAAATTAACCCTAAACCAAATCTCTCAACTTGCTCACAATTTCTTCCTCTCAATATGCTCAGTACAATCTCTAATCTTTGTTTTAAAACCCTAAAAAATCGTGTTTCAATTTATATCAAAACACAAACCCAATGCAAATAGGAAACCAATACTCAGGCCCAGCTCGACTCGCGGTCGACCGCAGAGCCATGTGCGATCGACCGGACAAAACGACAGAAAGCATAAATCCATTATAGGGTCTCGCGGTCGACCGTCGCACCACTCGCGGTCGACCGTGAAAAGTCTAGAGACTTTTCCAGATCTCGTGCACGTTTGTGGTCGACCGCCGCGCCACTCGCGGTTGACCGCTAGATGTCCAAGTTGTTTTTCTATAGTTTTTCCTGTAAGCTCTTCAATGCTCGAACTCAGTGAAGTTTTTTTCAAAACTGAGCCGACACCAAACGAAGAGCACCAATGCGTCATCTCCCCAAACTCGGCTGTACCAATATGGTTGCCTACGTACCCCCTCTCCCAATGGTTCAAGTTGTCCGTAGTTCATCCAAATGGGTGTTAACGGCCTCAACAATCATGAATGTGTAACAAGTTTCAACAATGATCAAACTTGTTGCTCGAAACTATCTTAGTGAGCATATCTGCCAAATTATCCTTCGTGTGGACCTTCACAATCTTCACATCGTCATCTTCAAGAACATCTCGAACGAAGTGATAATGAACGTCAATATGCTTCTTCCTCGCATAAAAAACCTAATTCTTTGCCAAATAGATAGCACTCATACTATCACAATGAATAGCGACGGACCGTTGTGATATACCAAATTCCTCTAAAATTCCTCGAAGCCAAATAGCCTCCTTCACAGCCTCTGTTATCGCCATATACTCTGCCTCCGTCGTAGACAAAGCCACCGTAGACTGTAAGGTCTATCTCTAACACAGCGGCGCACGGGTCAAAGTGAACACATACCCCGTAGTAGACCGACGCTTATCTAAATTCCCGGTATAATCCGAATCAATATAGCCAATGCAAAACTGCCCACCTCTAATGTCCCACTAATAAACCAAACGAACATTGAGCGTACCTCGAATGTACCTCAAAATCCATCTCACGGCATCCCAATGACCCACTCGAGGATCGTGCATGTATCTCGAAATCATGCTCACCGCCTGTGATAAATCTGGTGTCGTACATACCATCGTGTACATCAAGCTCCCAACCACGCTCACATATGGAGTATTCGACATCAACTCTCTATCTTTAACTGTCTTGAGTGAAAGGTCAGCTGAAAGCTTCAAATGGACTCCCAAAGGTACACTAACTGGCTCCGTATCCATGCTGATATGAAATCGCTGTAGAACCTTCTTCAAATAAGCCACCTGTGTCAAATAAATTCTTCCTTACTCTTTGTCTCTGACGATCTCCATCCTTAAAATACACTTAGCCTCACCCAAATCTTTCATCTCAAACTCATTTGAAAGTTGTGCCTTCAACTCATCTATAGAAGACCTGGAAATGGAGGCAACCAACATATCATCGATATAAAGTAGCAAATAGATGTACGCACCTCTTTTCAACTTGCGAAAATACACGTAAGGATCAAACTGGCTCTGAGTGTACGAATGACCAAGCATAAAACCATCAAATCGTCTATATCACTGTCGAGAAGACTGCTTCAAACCGTATAAAGATTTTTTTCAACCTGCAAACTAGGTTTTCCTTCCCTGCAGCTCGGAATCCCAATGACTGAGTCATATATATTTCTTCATCAAGATCTCCATGAAGAAATATCATCTTCACATCCAACTGATCTAACTCCAATCCATACTGTGCCACCAAAGTTAGCAAAATCCGAATCGAAGAATGCTTCACCACCAGAGAGAAAACCTTATTATAATCAATATCTTCCTCCTGTACATAGCCATTCGCAACCAACCTAGCTTTAAACCTCAATGGAGTACCCTCAATGCCCTTCTTCTTCGTGTACACCCACTTGCAACCATTTACCTTCCGCCCCTTTGGAAGCTCAACAAGCTCTCATGTATTATTCTTGTGAAGAGACTTCATCTCCTCCTGCATAGCCACCTGCCACGAATCAGCATCTGAACTTTACTCAGCCTCTTTGAATATAGTAGGCACCAACTCATCAATACTCTCCACCGAAAGTGTATATGCAACTACTGTGTCGGTATATCGTGCTGGCATCCGTATATCTCTCCTTTGTCTCCGAACCGCAATAGAATTCTGAACCTGAGTTGTCGGTCCCTGATCCTGCACAACTATACACGTATCCTCCTCGTCATCGTTGTGCTCACCTGACATCACCTCAGTCGGTACTCTAATGTATAATATACTATTTGGACAATGTGGAGCTGCATTGATCTCCACCACCTGCGATATCTCCTCTGTCGGGTCGCTCTCCACTTGATGAGAGCTGGGAAGCTTCAAGATAGAAGCCTCATCGAACGTGACGTCTCTACTCAGCACAATCTTCCTATCAACTGGATCCCATAGCTTGTATCCCTTTACACCACGCTTGAATTCTACAAATATGGTCTTCCTAACTCGAGGTTCCAACTTATCAGTCTTCACATAATAGTATGCATGGCACCTAAATATCTTGAGCTGGTCATAATCGTGTGCTGGCTCTCCCGACCATATCTCCATAGGGGTCTTCTCCTCATTCGCAAATAAAAACAACCTGTTAATGAAGTGACTCGCATATGAAAGTGCCTCAGCCCAAAAGATATTCTCCAAACCACTATGCACCAACAAACATCAGATCTTCTCTAGTAAAGACCGATTTAACCTCTCTGCCACCTCATTCTGCTACGGTGTATGACTAACTGTAAAGTATCTCTCTATACCCTCGTTTTGATATAGCTGCTGAAAGGGGTCTGATGTGTACTCACCACCGTTGTCGGATCGTAACGTCTTGATCTTTCTTCTAGTCTGCAGTTTCAACATCTTTTTCTAATCCATAAATATATCTAGGACTTCACTCTTCTTCGCCATGGTGTACACCCAACAACGTCTAGAACAGTAATCAACAAACATGATGAACCAATGTCTACCACCAAGTGATGCAATCTTGGTAGGATCCCAAACATCCGTGTACACATAATCCAGGATGCCCCTCGTCCTATGAATGGTTATCCCAAACTTCACCTTCGTCTTCTTTCCAAGAACACAGTGCTCACAGAACTCAACTTTTTCACTCTTGGCTCCCTTTAATAGCCCTTGCTTGCACAACGCCTGCAGTGACTTCTCTCCTGTTTGCCCACAATCTGTAATGCTAAAGTCTGCTAATGTCTGCCTCTGAAATAGCTGAAGCAACCTGGCCAATCACGGTTCTCCCTTTTAGATAATACAAGTTCCGGTTGCGGACTCTCTTCATCGCCACCAAAGATCCCTTATTAACCTTTGTTACAGCATCCTCAAAGGTCACCTTGAATCCATTCACCTCTAAAGCTCCAACTGAAAAAAGATTCTTCTTCAACTGAGGAACAAATCTCACCTCCTTCAATTCATGGACTACTCCACCGTGCATCCGAATCCTCACGGTACCTATCCCACAAATACCACAAGATTGATCATTTCCCATGATAACAACACCCTCATCGAGTCTCTCAAATGATGAAAATCAATCTCGCCTAGGAGTCACAAGATAAGTAGCGCCAGAATCAAGCATCCAATCTGATGCATCCAAGTGCTTCACCACCGGAGTAATCAATAGAGAAAAATTCGAATCATCGGAATCATCGCCTTTCGTAACATTCACCTCATTGGCCTTCGGGCCCTTCTTCTTGTCATTCTCCTTCTCCTTGAGCTTCGGACAGTCTCTCTTCCAATGTCTCTGCTCCTTGCAGAATGCACATTAGTTCATTACTAATTGGTGGCGGTTTCTTGACTTTGACCTCCCTCTATTACCACCTTTCGGATATGGGCTTCTACTTCTCGTCGACAAGACCTCGCCTGAAGTACTAGCACGGAAAGTCTCTTTGTCATTTCTCCTCAAATCATAGTTTGTCAAAGTATTAGTAACTTCACTATAGCTGATAGAAGACCTCTCATTCAACAAAGTGAGCACGAATGTATCATACTCCTCATCCGGTAAGGAGCCCAACAAAATAATCATCTTGTACTCATCTGATATCTTCTCATCAACATTCGATAAGTCCGACAACAACTTAGTGTAGTTATTCACATGAGCCGCTAGTGAGATACCTCAGGACATCCGAAATCTGAACAATCTTCGTAGCAAGTGCAAACGGTTCTCAACATTCTTCGTAAGGTACTTATTATTGAGAATTTCCCACATCTTTATTACATACGTTACCCCAATCACATCATACTTCAATTCTTATTCCAAATAGGATCTGATCACCCCCACAAGCGTTCCTATTCATCTTTTCTCATATCGCATCTTCATATTTTGGTGGCCTCTCATGGACCATGATGGTCTCCTCTAAATTCTAAGCATTGAGTGCATCCTGAACATCACTCATCCACAAACCAAAATTGATCTTATCGTCATACTTCATCATACTAATTTTGGTGTTCTGAAAACCAACTTGGACTGTACTCACCATCTTGTTGCTTTCACCAACTTTTTCACCCATACTCTCAAACTCCGAATTGCAAAGAAAGATTCAAACTTTGAAAGGATTGAGGAATTACCCAACTGAACCCTAAATTGGATTTCAAATAGAACTCCTAACCACACGAGGAAAGCGAGATCTTCAACGACAACTCCAAACCTTATCTCCACCGAAGCCTAGAACTCTAAGAACCAAGCTTCCAAACTAAATCTTCCTCTACCTAATCCAAAATTCTAGATCTCAAATCTGAACTCTGATACCAATTGTTGCGCATCTATGTGGAAGCGTGCTCGCACATTGAACGAATTTGTTATCACGGGAGAAGAGAACCAACCACATACGAGCACAATTCAATTCAAATATGACAAATCAAACCAAACACAGAGATATACGTGGTTCAGCAATTTTCCTACGTCCACGGAGAGAGGATGAGGATATTCCACTAAATCAAGGAGAGTACAAATGATTACAATCTCACAAAAGCTCATAAATTGACCCTACACCAAATCTCTCAACTTGTTTACAATTTTTCCCTCTCAATATGCTCAATACAATCTCTAATCTCTGTTTTAAAACCCTAGAAAATCGTGTTTCAATTTATATCAAAACACAAACCCAATGCGAACAGGAAACCAATACTCAGGTCCAGCCCGACTCGCGGTTGACCGCAGAGCCATGTGCGGTCGACCGGACAGAACGACAGAAAGCATAAATCCACTACAGGGTCTCGCGGTCGATCGTTGCACTACTCGCGGTCGACCGTGAAAAGTCCAGCGACTTTTCCAAATCTCGTGCACGTTTGCGGTTGACCGCCACGCCACTCGCGTTGACCGTTCGCAAGTCGTTTTTCTGCAGTTTTTCCTGTAAGCTCTTCACACACATTCACGGTCAAAGAGCATTCAAAAAAAATGATGGCGACTTTCCATAGTAGAATCAGAAAAGAGAACCGATTATTGGAATGAAGTAGTCCCATTCTACACGTTCTATCTTTTGTAAGCAAACGACCTTAGATTGCTAACTACAAGACAAAAGAATGCTTAGGGTAATTCAAATTCCCCATGTAGCATCATACCAAGGAACAATATTAGATACAAGGTAAAAAATAGAGTAGTTCCGATTCCCATTTAATTAGAGAGGATCCGAAACCGTGAGTGTTAGTGAGTGGAATTAAACAGAATATCTTTAATTATTATAGTCTCCTCCTCTTGTCTTCACCCTGTGGAAGTAAATCAAGATATTGACTAAACTACATTAATTGAATCCTCTAGGTATTTGCCAAACTGATTTAATTAATCTAATCCTCAAGGTTACTGGCTAAAAACTCCTCCTGTGCTATTGTGTTGTTTCTAGCCTCTATATTAACTTTTTCTTATTGTTCTAATTTATATATGTCTTAAGAACCTCACTAACCTCAGTACTGCTGCAACACAGAATATGGTATATTTATGGTACAAATACAACGCTAATTTCAATTGTAGCAAAGACGTTAACGTATCCAATATTATTAATCGTAACATTTTATGTGGCATTCGGACATGCATGCCTCCTCTATCCATATTAAAGGATTAGTACAAAGATTCAATGAATTAAACCACCTTAATTTTGCTTATAGTAAAGTTTCCTAATACCTAAAAATTCACAATCTAAACTGGTATAAGATATCACTAGTACGTATTATACTCTGTCTACTCTAGCGGAGAGAATATTGTAGAAAACTTCCTATTTGTTCTAGTTTGTAACTAGAACGAAACAAAATTTAATTAAATTAGGAATTTCCTTTTTCTTGAATATGGGGATTTTCTTACGCTTTCATCAATTAATCCTTTATGATATGAGTTCTTGTTGCAGGGAGGTTGTAAGTGAGTACTGTACCAAGGTTAGGGAACTAGCTTTGAGGATAATGGAAGCAATATCAGAGAGCTTAGGACTTGAAAGAGAGTACTTAAACAAAGCATTAGGGAGCCATGGGCAGCATATGGCCATAAACTACTACCCTCCATGCCCTCAACCTGAGCTCACCTATGGATTGCCAGCCCACAAAGATCCCAATGTCATCACTCTTCTTCTTCAAGATGGGGTCTCTGGCCTCCAAGTGCTCAGGAACGATAAGTGGGTCGCGGTGGACCCTGATCCCAATGCGTTGGTCATCAACATCGGAGATCAAATACAGGTATAATAACTCAGTCAGAAATGTCGATTTTTTTTATCTTATTTTGGTTGAATTTTTATATATTGTGATGGGAGAGGTTAAAGGTTCACAATAAGAAATCAAACTTGTTAGAGGGAACTAGCATCATGCATGTTTGAACTACACATTTGTAATATGAAGCAGCAAAATTCCATGCTAATTAAAAAAAAAGGGCTAAACTATCAGATTGGTTTTATTTTTCTTGATTTCTTTCACCGCTTTGATATTTTTTTTCTTGTCCCTTTTTTTTTTTTTTGACTTAATGGTCAGGTAGGCCCAAAAGTTAACCACCTGTTAGAAAATTTTGAAACTAGACCCTCAAATCTTTAATATTTTGATATTAGTCCCTCAAATCAATAAATTAAATTTAAAATTAGTTTACATATTTAATTTAATTTATAAACTCAAACATATTTCAGACTCACATCTTCTCCCATTCATCCCCTTGCAAACCTCTTATAGGTCTGTTAACCGTGAAATGGAGCACCAAAAAATCCGGTTAAAGAAGATTTGTTTTGATATTAGTCCCTACCAAAATATCATGCATATAAGATCCCTCTGTGATATAATCCATCCAATCTATTAATTAACCATGATTGACAGTTGACAGGTAATCAAGAAAACTAACATGTTAGGAGGGAATAGATAATAATTGAGTGATGCACATCATCTTTTTTTTTGGTCAATGAAAAATTTTTATTCATTTACCAAAAATATGGAAATTATGTACATCTCTATCTCAAGTTGAGAAACTGTTTCAAAAAACAAAAAATAGCTGAATCATAGAGATATCAGCCAATCTTTATGTACATCTGAAATTTGACTATTTAAACAGATTGTGTATATATCTGTTTTGATGATCTTCACCAGTTGATCTGTTCTCTTGAACCTCTGTTTGAAGCTTCTTCCATTCCTTTCTTCCCAAATCCTATACACAGTAGCCGCAAGAGCAAGTCTCTTAATCTGTTTCTTGAATCCTTTCCCCATCTGCCTTGTGTTATACCAGTTCAACAATATACTCCAATTACATGTTTGCCAATCAAACTTAAGCCAGTTGATGATAGCTAACCATACATCTCTTGAATAACTGCAATCAAAGAATATATGCTCTCTGTTCTCAATTCCTGCACACAGAAGACAGCTGTTTGTACTGATAATTCCTCTTCTTAACAACCTGTCTTGTGTTTGAAGTCTGTTCAGTACTGCAAGCCATAGCACAAATGAGTGCCTAGGGTAATTTAGTTTCCCCCATACCGTATTAAACCAGGGAACCTGTTGATTTTCAGGAGAGAATGCAGAGTATACTGCTGACAACTTGGTTTTAGAGTTTATGTAACAGTTACCAAGCAAAAGTTTCAGATTGTCAATACCCCCAACTTCATTCAAAGCCTTATCTCTACACCTGAGGATCTGTTTCCACATCCAGGAGTCTCCACTTTTAGCTCTGACATTCCATACATCTCCATGTTTTAAATAGTTCCCATTAATCCATTTCACCCATAGTATTTCCTTGTTTATATGTATATACCATAAACTCCTCATAGCATTTGCCAGGTTCCAAGAATATGCAGAGTAGATTCCCAATCCTCCTTGCTTTTTCCCACAGCACACCTTATCCCAAGAGACCAAAGGAGTTTTGTAGGAGTTTTCAGACTTTCCCCACAAGAATTGCCTACATATTTCATCAATCTTCTTCACTACTTTTACTGGCAGAATGAAATTTGACGTCCAATAGTTTTGAATACCCAAAATCACACTTTTTATCACTTGAACCCTTCCTGCATATGACAGATTTGAATGTCTTGTCCACTTCTTGAGCTGATTTGTAATATTATCTATCAATGGGTTGCAATCCACATATGATAACCTCTTACAGATGAGAGGAACCCCTAAATATTTGAATGGTATAACTCCTTCAAAAAACCCCAGGAAATTTTTGATTTGTGTTTTGGTTGCATCATCAACCCCTCCAAAGTAGATAGAACATTTTTCCATGTTTGCTTCCAAACCTGTTGCAGCACTGAAGTCTCTAACACATTGAAACAATTTTTGGACTGAAACAAAATCACCTTTAGCAAATAGTAGCAGGTCATCCGCAAAGATGAGATGTGTGATTTTGAGATTTCCACACCTTGGGTGATACTTGAACATCCTGTCATTATTTAACATCTCTAATCTCCTTGATAAGTATTCCATCCCAAGTATGAAGAGGTATGGTGATAAAGGGTCACCTTGCCTTAAGCCCCTCTTTCCTTCAAAATAGCCTTGCAGCGAACCATTCAGAGATATAGAGAATCTTGGTGAAGTTATACAGGCCATTATCCAGCTAATATATTTCTTTGGAAACTTCAAACCTTCTAGCATCATCCTTATAAAGTCCCAGCTTATTGTGTCGAATGCTTTCCTGATATCAATGTTCATCATGATTCTTGGGGATATGTTCTTTCTACTATAACTTTTAACAAGCTCATGAGCCAAGGAGATGTTACTTGTGATTTGTCTACCTTTGACAAAAGCACTCTGTGCTCCATTTACAATACTCCCCATAATTGGTTTAATCCTATTCACAAGGATTTTTTAAATGAATTTATATATGCAATTGCAATAGGATATGGGCCTGAAATCAGCTGGGGATACTGGACATTTCTTCTTTGGTATAAGTGTAATAGCAGTAGAATTAACCATACCCAACAGTTTCCCATTTTTGAAAAATTCTTCAATAGCTAGCATCACCTCCTCCCCTATTACTGGCCAAGCAGACTTATAAAATGCAACACCATATCCATTTGGCCCAGGTGCCTTGTTCTCATCCATTGAAAAAAATAGTGTTCTTTATCTCTTCTTTAGTAACAGGTCTAGTAAGAGAATTAGCTTGTGTTTCAGTCAAACAAGGTCCAGCTTGAATAACTTGAGAGTCAGGCATTGTTGTAACTGGAGCAACTCCCAAAAGACCCTTGAAGAAATCAATCATTTCATTTGCAATCTCCTCTAGGTCAGTAATCCTTTGCCCTAAGGTGTTGTAAAGGACTAACACCTTATTATTGTGTCTATTTGCTTTTATCCTGGAGTGGAAAAAGTTTGTGCACCTATCTCCTTGCACACTCCATTTAATCCTGGCTTTTTGTTGCAGAAAAGAGAGCTCACAGTCCAGGAGGTTATTGTACCTTGCCATACAATCCTTCTCCTTCATAATATACGTTGGATTTAGAGGATTCAACTGAAGAGCACATTGAGCCTCATCAAGAGCTAGTTTGGCTCTGATAACCTGCTCACTGATGTTATAATAATGCTTTTTGTTTAACTCCTTAAGAGCAGCTCTCATCATCTTAAGCCTCCTACAGACTGTAAACATTTTGCATCCCTTAACTTTAGTTTGCCAGATATTAGATACAGTGGGGATGTAGCTATCATGCTTAGACCACATATTGAAGAACCTGAAAGGCTTCTTCCCAATTGAACTTTCCTGGAAAAGAGAAACCAAGGCAGGGGAATGGTCAGAAAAATGAGGAAGTAGAAATTCCACCTGACTGGCATTGAACATGTTTAGCCATGAATCATTCACCAAGGCCCTATCCAATCTGCACCACACTCTAGTGTCTTGATCCTGCTTATTGCTCCATGTGTAAAAACATCCAGTTGTTTTAAGATGATTGAGATGACAGTCTTCAATAAAATCCTTAAAGTCTTTTGTTTCAGATTCAGTGACAGTTGCACCTCCCAGCTTTTCCTCACCATTTATAATTGAGTTGAAATCCCCACACATGATCCAAGGATCATTTCTCAATGAAGGTTGTATAGCCTTCAATTCATTCCATAGCCCTTTCCTAGCCTCCAAATGATTAAAGCCATATACAGATGTAATTATGCATTCTGTTCTCCCATCAGAAGATACCACTTTACTTGTGATACTTTGATCAGACATGGAGATAACCTGAACATCCAATTTTTGTGAATCCCACATGATTAAGATCCTGGCTGATCTTTGATTATTGACATTTGAATACCAATTCCAATTTCCTGCAATTTTTTTTCCTGCCTGAAGAAGCTTACCACTCTTTATTTTTGTTTCAAGAAGAGCTATATAGGATAGATGATATTGGGATATGAAGTTTCTCACCAAGTGTTGTTTAGAGGATTTGTTTAATCCTCTAACATTCCAAAAGGCAAGATTCATCATTGCTCTCCCCCTCTATCTAATGTAGAGGGATCAATATCCAAGATATCCAGAACAGTAAAAGAATTTCTAGGAATGATATTCTTATTTTTTAAACCTTTTTGAACATGAATCCAAGGCTTATTCCCTGATGCAGAACCCATAGAACAGATACTGCCTGTGATATTCTCCCTAACCTGCATAGCATGCACGGCACTATGCACTGCTTGCTGTTCTGAATGCACAACATGCACACCATTATGCACTACTTGTTGTTCTGGGTTTGCAGTATTTGTACTCTCACTAATATTTGCCTTCTCATTTATCAAACAATTACTTTTTTCACCCTCTGTATCAGAATTATGCACAGCCTTATCACTGCTATCATCTTCCTGATAACTGGTGTTTGAAGGTATTGTAGTATCATTTCCAATAATAATTTTTCCTTTCCCAATATCATCAGATTTTTGAAACTGGCCTTGCTTAGGAATCCATTTTTGAGTTTGCACTCTCCTCCTACAGGTTTTTGTGTCATGTCCAACCTGTTTACATGAATCACACCACTTAGGTTTAAATTCATCATTAGGACCTAAAATGGTGATCTTGTCAGGGAGTGGGGATGGCATTTTAACCTCAACTAGCACCCTCGCATAAGCCAAACGCTGTTTGTTTGCAGTCAATCTGTCAGTAGCAATTGGGCATCCAATTGCACTAGCAATTTTAGAAATACTTTTTGCATTCCACAAATTGAGCCTTAGATATGGGAATTGAATCCACATAGGATATATATTATCATTTATCTTCTCAATATCATCTCCATTAGACCACTGCTTTAATAACAACGGTCTTGAACCAAAGAACCAAGGTCCTGAACACAGAATCTCATTTAGCTCATCAATATTCTTGAATTTGATCAGAAAAATACCAGGCTTGAGTAAGAAGACCTCCGGCATAAATTTCTTCCATGTTTTTTGTACATAATTCTCCATAGCCTTGAATTTTACATTCAATCCCATAACTTGGCATACTAGTGAAGATTGCCATATTAAAACATCTTCATTCCATTCATCATCATCAAAAGAAATTGAATCATTTTTTTCCAGTGGGAATATAGTTGAGATTCATCCCAATTTCTATTTTTCTGTTGTCTGCAAACAAACTAGCCCAGCTTTTATCAGATTTTATATCATTTGCCTCAGCCGAAATCTTAGCTTTTTGCTGTTCAGTATTTCCACCAGACGGAGAACCAGTATTCAATGGATCAGATTTTCCCCCCTTTTCCAGCTCAGAATTCACAGATTTATTCAAAGACAGCGGAGTTTCTTTGTTTAAAGTTGGATCTATAGTATTATTTACTTCCGCATTCAATGTAACAGTAACCTTTTTACTAGACAGGATCGATTTATGCCTTGAATCACTAAGCGATTTCTGAAACTCATGATTTAAAGAAGAATTAACAGAGTTTTACCATTATCCATCTCATCTGCCCATGATACCCTAGCAGATCTTCCAGATCCAGGAGTGGGAAGAAAATCTGATGCCTGCATAAGCTGATTGTCGGAATCACTTGGTAATCGATTTATACATACTCGATCCTTCACTGGAATGGCAGAACTCAGGATTTCCACCATAGATCTAGTCTTCTTCTCCCCTTTTGGACCAGTTGAACCCATTTCGGCTAATCAAGTAAAAATCTGGTTGCATATTTTTCCATTCGGCAAATTCTAAGGGCTCTAATATTTAATAACTAATAAAAAAAAATTTACTACATCATCTTGATCCATTGCTCTTCACATCTTGGAAATCTATATTCTTTGTTTTTCATTTTTCTATAAATTATTCATTTTGATCTTAATTTCTTTCCAAAAAATCCTGTTTTTTATCCTCTCTCTTTATCTAAAGGTAATATGCATACAAGAATATTAATCTAATCCCGTGCTTTGCACTGGTAACAACTAGTTTATAATATAAAATGACATCAAAAAAGTACAGAATAAACTAAATAAATAAATAAAAGTCTTGTAATATCTAAAGGAAAAAATATTTTTAAAATGATTTTTTTTTCCTTCCTAACATCTAGAGGAATATAACTATTTAAGTTTCTCATTCTTAATGTCCCTAACCATTACACCAAAACTCTGAAGTTTTGGTAAAAATTAAGGGTTATAGTTTTATATTATAACATGTCCTTGCGGGTTGAGCACCCTTTTCTATGGGTTGAAACCTGAATTCAGGAGGCAATAATATTGTTTTCTAAATCCACATTAAATTTGCGGGTCAGCAAAGTTTGAACCTGGGTCTTAATGTTCCTAATCATTACACTGGAACTCTAAAGTTTTCATGAGGGCATGTTCAATGTAGATGCTGAGAACTATTTTCTTCAATTTTATGAGATTTTCTTAACAAACGAAATATTTGCATCTTAAGAGGCTTGGGATTAAATGAAAAACATTAGGCATGATCTCAAATATATACGCAACACCATAATATAACTTTGATTTCATGTAGGAGAGGTTTATCAATAGTACTGAAATAATTGAGGTTGATGAACATTAATAATTAAGGACCAAAATCTCAACATTAATAACTTATGTATTAATGCAGGTACTTAGCAATGGCCGATATAAAAGTGTGCTCCACAGAGCCATTGTGAACAGCAACAGTCATAGAATCTCCATCCCAACTTTCTACTGCCCGTCTCCAGATGCTGTGATCAAACCTCCATGTTCACTTACTGATGATGTGCATCCTGCAGTTTATCGAAGCTATTCCTATTCTGAGTACTATGAGGAGTTTTGGAACCGAGGTCTCAACTCTGAGAGCTGCCTCGATAACTTCAGAATACTGAAATAATGAAGATCAATTTGTGGCTGTTATTTTAGCCAAAATGATGGAAGAAATAAATAGATTTATTGTTTATGCTTACATTTTTTTTATTTTGATTAACAGTGGTCAGTACTAGCTAGTAGCTACATAACATGAATTATCTCTTTTAGAGTACAAAATTATAACCCACAATATAAGTTAGGAGTAACTGGAATCTTTGACATGGTAGCAGGGCAACACATGTTCGATTTCCACCTAACAATTTAAAAAAAAAAGAAAAGAAAAAATTCCACCAACAATGAATCTAAAAGATTAAAAAAAAAAATTGATATCCTGATTTCCGCCAATAAAAAGGGAGTTTTACTTGCGGGAAAATTTTAACCAGCAACCCTCCCATATCTTTGAAATTTTGGTATAGCGACGGGACCTTTGACATCTAACAAGAGATAAGATGTTGAATAAATCCATATATATGAAACAATTAACATAAGTAAACAGTATTTTCTTTTCTTTCTTTTTTTCCCGGTATAGAAAAGTTATAGGCTTAGTCAAGCAAAAATGAATTTACAAGATATTCAATTTTGATAGATTTTTTCTTCTTTTTCTTGAAAATTACAGTAATGATGAAAATTTGCAACACGAGGGCAGCTAGAGGGAGAGCCGCGATAAACGTGAAAAAGTATTTGGTGACCAAAAGTCTAAGTCCTCCCATATTTGTTCCCATCGATGGAGCGAGATATGACTACATGTGATGTAGATTGAAAGAGAAATTACGCAGACTTCATATAGTCTTTCTCAAAAGACAAAACACATAAAAGTCCATTTTCCTTTTGGGTAGTTGCATGGACAGTGAAATTCATTGCTTAATTAAGAGTTTTTTTTTTTGGTCGATGAAATAGAATATATTCATTTACCAAATTTTGAAATGAGAGTACATCAAAAATCTGCTAGAAAATAGTCTAGCAACCAAAACTGAAGAAAAAACTCAATCTGTTTACAATTTTTCTACTCTATCTCTCAAATGCTCAGGAACATCTTCATGAAGTATCTTTTGGAGTATTGAAATTTTTATTTCTCTAACAAGCTGATCAGAACTCCGGCTTTTTTGCTGGAAAATCCTCATATTCCTTTCCTTCCATATCCAGTAAACTGTTGCTGACAAAATCATTCTCTTTAACTTCTTTATGAAACCAAACCCCCTCAAGTTATTAGTATACCAGTCTATCACCTGATCCCAGTTGCATGATCTCCATGTATAATCCAACCAACCCATCATTTTGTTCCACTCATCAGAAGTATAAAGGCATTCGAAGAACAGGTGCCTACAGGATTCTAATTGACTGGTAGAGTTAGCACACAGGATACACTGATTTGAATTCAGTATTCCCATGCTACACAACCTTTCCTTAGTCAAAAGCCTTGAGAGGATAACAAGCCATAAAATCACTGAATGTTTGGGATAGTGCAATCCTCCCCATACTGTGTTCGACCAGGGTACATTTGCTGCAGGAGAGATGGCATGATAGACAGAGGAAATATGAAATTTACCATTGTTGTGACATCCATTGCTTAATTAAGAGTTGTTACATCAGCAAATTATTCCATGTGAGACCCTAATTGTCAAGGCCATAATTAAGCTTAAAAAGGACCAACATGCGCAACCAAGTCTTCGCCGAATAATAAATCTGTGAGCCATCCCCACAAAAAACAATAAAAAAAACAAAACAAAACAAAAAAAGAAAGAAAATGGATTCATGGAAACAAAAAGTGAATATAGTGTTGAGCGATATGCGATGAATGGGGCGGGCCCAGGTGATCGAGGGCCAAGAGGGCCTTGCTTCCACCGCGGCCAATCAAATAAAAAAAGTTGGAATATTAATTAATTTGTAAAAAAATAATTATAAGATGATAGGGTGCTAAATTGTAGGGCTTTTATAGTGAACATGAGCTCTCCTAAGTTTCTGCTTGCGATTAACTTGAGAATTACATCTCTTATGTAGCTACTCATCTGTGTTTTTTCTGAAATTTAAGAAAACAGTGAAGTTGCTAAGAAGTTGGTTGAATGGAATGGATACTTCTATCTTCTAGTGTACAATTAATGGGTGAAGTTGGCATTAATCTTGTTTGTTGCAACGAGAAATGTTGAAAGAGGATTTTCAACGAAGAAAATTACTAAGAATGCTCTATTCAAATAGAATGAGATATGAGTATATGAATAATTGTTTTGTGTCTTATATTGAATAATATATATTGTAATATTAATTAAAAAGATGTCATGAACCAGTGTTAAGAAATGAATCAAGAAGAATATTATTGTAAACAATATATTCTAATTCGATCCAGATACAGCTCGGATATGATATTTATCATATCCATGTCTGTCTACCGATCACAGGTATAAATATGGTTACGGATATATCTTGGTAAGGAAAATTCATACCCATATCTGCTAAAATCGGATATGGATACGAATATATATATATATAAGAAACTTATATAATATTTAAAAATATATATATTTGGTCTATGTCTACAAAAATGTCCTTCGAAGAAACTTATATAATATTTAAAAATATATATATTTGGTCTATGTCTACAAAAATGTCCTTTAATATGTTCGTTATATCTGAAAAGGTAGGATTAGACATTTTGATCATCTAAACTAATCTCAAATCCATAATCTAAGAAATAAAACTAGTATAATAGTATGACCAATATGAATTCGGATATTTCGGATACGGATTCGGATATTTCACTCTCTTTGTTGGATTCCCTATCCATCAATGTATTTGACACACAGATGAAGTGTTGAGGGGACGAGCATGTTGGAATGGATCCATGATCATCCAAGGAGAAGGTTGAGTATTTTCAAGTGAATGCTCAAATCAAAATACTCAAATCACTTAACATACTTTCGTTTTTAATGAACAGGGTATAACCCTTGTTTTTCAGTCAAAAAAAAAATACTCAAATCACTTTAGTGAAATCCTACCAACTATACGCAATGTAACTCTAAGAATTAAAAGTAACTGTAAAAAGGATTCAAAAAGGAAATAAAAACCATATATATAATCATATCTTATCGGTTATAGATTTGAGTGATCATATTTGTATCCTAACGGATACAGTTATGAATATTTCCATGGATATGGTTACCGTTTAGCATTCCTATTCCTAAGTCCCCCACTATGAATCTGTACCTTGCCCATGTGAACATACGTTGACCAACAACCCAACCCATTATAAGAGGTCCATATCTAGTTGGGCTTGCGTGTAGACCATGGATACACTGTCCCACTTGCGGCCCAAAAGCATTTGCTCAACAGTCCAGTTCTAATTTGTGGCTGTGTATAGTACTGACATTTGTCCATGTCGATACTGCCTGATTTTTTTTTTCCTTTTTGACTAGCAAAAAAATGAAGTATTCTTTTTATGATATTATATGCCAAAAATTTTGAAGTTTTGAGTTGGCGTACACTAAAGGCATAAAATGGACTCTGTTTGTGGCCTGAGTAAATCAATAAATTTCTGCCATGACATAGGGTGAGTCAATGGTTTGAAATCTTTATTTATCTAATGAATTCATCAACCTTTAACTTTAAGGGGGTGTTTGTTTCAATTTTTTTTGGGATATAGGCTGCATTTCAAGTTTTGGGATGTAAAAAGGGGATTTTTTGGGTTTTGGAATTCCATAAATCATGTTTGTTTCAAAAAAATTGGGATAATGAATCCCCAAAACATAAAAAACTAATTTATTTTAGGATTTGAGAAATCCTGTTTTTGAGATCGGATGTGGGCTAGATCTCTGACAATCTCGTGTCCAGCTCATCACCCCTCCCTCCTCTCCGCCCTCAACCTCACAGGCATGCGCGATGCTGTCACCACCCGCAGCGCCTTCGCTGCTGCTCACTCCTCCTACATGATCGATCACTACGCGATTCAAGAAGAAGAGAACAACACTTACTTGAGAAACCCTAGAGACGCTCTAGTATTGATCTCGACAACCATCAAAGAATGGCATTAAATCTCAGAGGCGAACTCCGCAGCGGGATCGTCGATGGATTTGGGATTTTTTTAGGGTTTGGAACGAAATACTCACACGCGAATATGTTTTTTGGGAGCTCAAGACCTTAACGGGTTTTATTCGGGTCGGGTATAGTAACTTGTCTGAAATCCAAAACGACTGATGGGCTGGGTCAATTCTGATTTGGACTTTTGGATAATTAAGATAATGCTGGATTTATTTATTTTGTGTACTAAATTTGTGTACCAAGTGAAAATTCTGTGTACCAAGTACTAATTCTGTGTACCAAGTTAAAATTCTGTGTACTAATTTTGATTTCCCCCCTTCCTGTTCTTTGGATAATATTGTTAGTTAATTTTTTTTGTTGGATTTATTTTTAAAGATAAAATTTTGGAAAGTTAAGCACAAATTGCAGTAATTCTAGCGAAGCGATGCAAGCAAAAATTTATTATCTTAATTCTAGTTCATCTAGTATTTATAGAAATTAGTAAAAAAATTGGAAGGCTTAAATAAAAACCTGAGAGGCTTGAGTAAAAATTGTATTTGTTTTTATTTGTAGGGGGTAAGCTCACCAAATATCTTATATTCACCATTTATTATTTTGGTAATGCTAAAACTTATTTGTTACAATTATGGATTTTAAATTCTAAAATTTGTAATGCTACAATTTGAGTTTGAAACAAACAAGAATTTACAAATTATAGCATTCCAAATCCCAAAATATTGATAAAACAAACAAAGTTTAAGAAATCCCAACCCATAACAAAACACCAATGGATTTCAAATCCCATGGTGAAATCCATATCCTAAAATTATAGGATTTGAAACAAACACCCCCTAATAGTACGTGACTTGGTGGTTGGAGCTTGAGGCATTGACTCATAGGGTCAAAGTCGACTATGACTTATGTTTATCCCATATTTTTAATCATTAAACATAGTAGCACCTGTCCTATTCACATATATTGACCACTCAAAAACTGAATACGTATTTTTCTTCTATT